CAATATTTCACCTGCGGGAACCCTGTAACACCTGAGGACACCGTTACAAACTCAGGACCCCCAGCATGAACAAAGTATCACATTAGCCTTGTATCGAACGAAGAATCCTAAACTTATGGAATATACTACCAGAAGCATTAGCAGAGGTCGATTCTGTGAAGTGTTTTAAAACCCGTATCGACGATTATTTCGAAAAACTGTGCTTTTGTGGAACGATACACATACAATGCCAAAAGAAGACATCGTATACCCGGAAATAATGACACCAATACAAATTCCTAACCGAACAAGGATAAACGATTAACGGACCAGACACAACCGCTGATGATTCACAACTAAATGTTTTTGATTTTTCGTAATTCGATAGAGTTGTACAGAAAGCTTTCTACTTGCTCTTAAATACAGTCTCAGTATTTTTCGCTTGTCCATGCTTTGATAACGTACTTAGAAGAGGCTTTCGTATTATCACGGGAGGCAAGTATGCTTAAGCACATATGGTCATATGGCCATAGAAGATATCGGAGGCTCCCTTAACATCAGAGGAAAGAAAGAAATGGTCCCCATTTCGGGTCTTAAGCAGAGCGGGGAAAGTTATCCAACTGACACTTCGCAGGAAGTGTGGAACAATCGCTGACTTCATACTCGATGACTCAGCTAGAAGTTTACATCTATTTCGTGACCACATTCAGGGAGACCGTCTATTACATTAGTAAGTATTGAGGAAGTGCCTTTGGTAAAAAGTAGATCTAGCATATTTTTACCCCTGGCAGCCACAAGAACAGGTTGTTCTCAACCACCAATGATGACAAAGATTAAGAACTCAGCATGTTTCGCAATTTTCGCTAAGTTGGAACAACACATGTCGGGTAGGTTGAGATCTTTGCCAAGGACTTTATCAAAAGTACTAAGTTCCGATATGCAATTAAAGATGACAACCAAGTGGTTCTCACTGCTGAGGCCTACTCCAGGTGAGCTATAAATACAACCTACATGCATTCGCTTAGAACCAAGGGATAAGAGTAAGCAAGCAGAATCTATAGTGGGGCATATAAGTGGAAGTGTGAATTCAGAGACAAGGTTTTTCGAATAGTAAATCATGCAACCATCTCCACTGCCTTGCTTTTGATCACCACTAATAAGCTTGTAACCGATGAAAAACTGTTGGTTAGACATGGAAGCATGACACCAGGTTTCTGTGAGTAAAATCATATCGGGTTTATTCAAATATATGAAAGTGCGAAGTAAATGTAGTTTATTCATCAGAGAACGATTAAGTATCAGCAGTCTTAAAAAGTTCTGGCGTTGTTTATCATTCTACCAAGTGTTTATTCTTGCAATCACATTTGTTCTAGAGCCTTCCGCAGCACATCCCTTACCGTGAGATTCACCAGTTCTATCGGGACTAGACGGGGGAGGGGGAATGGGTGGGGAATACACAAAGAATGCTGTGGTAATTTGGGGTGATCAAGTTTAAATGGATAGGATGTATTGCCGAAGAGTTCGCAGAGGACATCGTAAAAGGAGGCGGAAGGAAGTATGGGGAGAGACATAATTAAGTGGGTTGCGCTTCAGCAAAGCTAAGTAGAGGTCTTCCAGTATGAGCCTTGACACATAGACTGAACAACGGGGAAGCGTGGTTTACTACTCTGTGTAGGAGCATTATGACTAAAGAGTGTCAGGGAAATGCGGAGTCTCCTTTCCAGTATGAAGATTTCTTTTTGGACTAACACGCTTAAGGCTTGGGGCAATTGTGAGTTAGCAATAAGAGACTGAGCACATGAGAGCCCAATTCTTCGTGAATGTCCCACAGCCGAGTGTGCATCCAACCAGCCGTGGAGACGAAAATCACCGACCCTACTTATCCGTGCAAGAGGTTTAGACAGTATCATGGGGCAAGACAAAGTTGGAAGCCAGATATCTCAAATTGCAGTGTCACAGCCCGCATTTAACCGATGATGGCAAACTTTGCAGAGCATTCGTTGTCTTACTGAAGAGTAAATGCAGTCAGTGCGTAATTCCTACATCAAAAAGTATCAGACACCGAGGTGCAATGTGGAACTGGTGTGCGTTCATTGTCTGTCCCTTGTTGATTATACACGCAGGCAAGGTACATAGTGGATGTCTGGAGTAGCATCGTGAGGTAACCTGAAGTCATATGAGGCGGTCATCCTGATGAGCGCGTAGAAGCAACGCGTCCACCGTCCTCATAGGTAGGAAGCAGCACTGGAAATGTGGTACGTAAAGTTCTTATACACCCGAGCTGGAACCCCATAGTCAAGCAACGAAATATTGAGTGACAGACGAAGTATTAATGGGATTAGTCCATCGAACAGGTAAGAAGCGACCACATTTCAATTGCTGACAGTTGAGCGTCGGAAAACAGGAGTAATCGATTTGTTTCGAGAACAACGAGATCATCTTCAGACTATTGCAATCATATGCAGGAACAATAAAAGTGAAATCGACCCAGTTATATTAAAGTACAGAGACGAAAAAGCGGACTGTCTTAATAGACTAACTGAGCTTCACGGAGTTTGACCCAAGGTAATTGACCTCTGCGTCTTCCGTTCTCACAGGCTGAGGAAGCTGAAGAGCTTAGACTACCTTCTTCTGCAAGTAGGACGGTTGAAACAATCTAGAGCAAGTTGCTTAGACCGTCACAATTGTAGGAAGGCGTTGATCTTTCAATCGGTGATGGCGAATCAAGTACAAGGGTCGGGTTACCGCCAGTTAGAGCCGGTCGCGGACGAGTCAGGAATCCAAGACCAGAGAACAAGTGTGTGGCGGTAAAATTACCGCTACAAATGCCGTGGTAAAAGACCGACGGTCTTGACGAGAAAATTCGCTATGGGGAGAAAGGAAGCCCCTTATAAGAAGCGACACTAAGCAGGAAAGGACACTATAGGCCAGTGGCGCAAGTAGTAGTGGAAGGGAAACAGTAGGTTATTGAGTTGCTTCAAGCTACATCTTTTCTAGTGCAACTGAACCACTGCTTCAAACTCCATGGCAACGCGCGACAACACAATAAGCGAAGAGACGCTATGCAGTTGCAAAGGATGATAAATCACACGTTTTCGGGTGTATTTGCCTGAATTCGCAAGCGCGATTTTTGTTCGCTAGCGTTGTATGTCCACAATGAATGCCAGAACAAGCAGGTAGGCGGGGTAGCTCAGGACTTAAAGCTAGCCTACTAAGCGAGTTTGGCTTTCAAGAGTCACTCATCGATACAAGTGAACTAGCAGACATTCATTTTGTATTCGGAAATAAGCAAGCATCACCATCCACGAGGAAGTTGAAAGGACAGCGGTGAGCTAGCGTGATGAATCATGCAAGAGGCAGACAATAATCAACATCCATTGTAGAGTAGGAGTCAAGCAACACTCCGCCAGTAAAACCGTCGCTACCAAGAGACGGAGAAACAATTTGAAGAGCAGTTCAGCAAGCCTGTCGCGATGCCGCTTGCTGAATCACGTAAACCGACGTGCGATGTCGATGTAACCCTTCCCACTTTGAAAGAGCTCCTGGACCCGACGACCTTCATCATTGCTGAAAGATGGAGGTGACTCGTTGTTGACTTGACTACTTTTTTTACATGATCTGGGATCCTGAAGAGGTGCCTTCAGACAGGCTGTTGTTCCAGTCTGCAGGGAGGGTCAGCGCGCTTTGTGCGAAAATCATCGAGACATTAGCCTTATTTCCACTGTCTCCAAACCTCTCACGGGTATCATCCTTCGACTACTTACTGAAGGTGATTGCATTGACCAGATATTTACTCTTTTCCAAGTGTTAGAGCAGACACTTACAGACGACCGATTACGGTGGTTTTCCAAGATTTGAAAGCCGTCTTCGACCCTGTTGGCTGCAACAGCTTGTGGCACTGCTTATCCATGAAGGGCGTGTTAACGGAACCCCTTTACATGCCGTATTTTTTCTACCCTGACTCCCGCGTAAGGGTTTACGGTAAACTGTCTCCTGAGTTCGCCACGAAGTGTGCTTCGGTAGGTTTTTCCTATACCTTTTCAACTTTGAGTGGAAGTTCTGGTAAGTGACCGACTAACAAAATTTTTGTGTGTGGACGACATAGATCTCCTCGCGTTCGACGCAACGGCCATGCAAACACTACCGAATAGGCTGGTGCGCAGCGCTGCACACTGCATCTTTAAAGTGGAAAACGCTGCTGCAGGACTGGCACGACACATCACCGCTTTCAGCCGCTGGAAGTGATGGATCGGTTTACTTAGCTTGCTAGCTGTGTCACCTTTGGTGATCACATCAATTACGTATCAGCAAGGCCCGTGTGGCTTTCCAGAGGCTCAATCATCCATGAAGACGGGGGATATCAGACGGCCCGTGAAAGATAGGGTGGGTAACGCTTCGATAAGATCGGTGTTACTGTATGGATCTGGCCAGTTCGTGGCGAAGACAGTAAACGCTTGGCCGTATTTGACCATCGTGATTGCAGAGTATTGTTCACGTCTGGGGGGGAACAACGAGTAAGCAATCGTGAGGTCTGCCGGTTGGTTTTTGGCAAGAAACCCTCTGGTGCCTCACTCGAACCGTTCCCGTTGACTAGGTCATGTCCCCTACATGCCCGTTGACCGACTTCCTCAGCATGCATGATACGCCGTGGTTGCACCAAATTGGGATAAACAGCGAGGTGGCCAGTATATGGTGTGGCCTAGAGAAATCGACTGAGACTTGGTCAGGTTGGTGCATGCCGTCTTCGTGAAAGGGGGTCCCGGGATGGTCCACCTCAATGGTTGAAGAATCTGTCGGACATGGCGGGAAAACGTCAAGCTCGGATCAGGGAATCAAGACTAACCTTTATGGTGAAAACTGTCAAAAACGGACGAAATCACAGCATCGAAGTCTCATAACGGATTGTAAACTACTTCAAAGTGGAAGTTACTCGATCATTGTGGTTTTAGATGGTACGCGTTGTGTGGTGGATTCAGCAGACACCTATCGCGCAATCTTTAAGAGAGTAATAAGACGCGACGCACAAGTTCAAACAGTCTTTTAAAAAGAGCCACGAAAATCAGGTCTCTTCTGGCCGATAATGAGTTGAAAACCGGAATAAAGGTATGGGAGAGGCAGGTACGAAAATAGGCCCTAGCAGTACTTGAGAAGAGATGGCGGTAATCTTAAAGTGACACGGAATCAGTGTCTTGAGGCAGTAAAGCACACAATGCATTGGATGTATTCAACAAACAGGGAACATGACTGTCCCCTGGAAATCATACAGAATAATACGTTATTGGTAGCGCTGATAATAATAAGCTTAAAAGTAAAGCGATAGACTAGCTAGTCCATGGTTGTGAAATACGTTATCATATGTGCATCAACACTAGATGAAATAAGAGATAAAGGAGGGGGACAAAATTACCACAGCAGAGCAAGTGAAGACCCACCGACGTCAATGTTCGGAACCAAGGCACAAGTATAAAGGTAGAATGAGGTAAAATCGAATGCAATCACACGTATGCATGAACACCAGTACGTGTACCGAAAGCCAGGAGAGTTGAAAACATGGGAAACTGTACACGAAGGACACAGGGAGCAAGATGGAAGTTAATCAGTCACTCGTGGATTATTGGATTTGCCGCGGCCCCGGTTGCACGGACGCCTGAAATTGGCCGAGTTACCACCCCGAGAATTTCTCATCCCCAGGGGTATTCGTTTGGGCTCTGTGCTGGTATTTGATTCATTAGTGGTTGTGTGATTTGTAACAAGTTTAGTCGGAGTGTCTTGGACTGGGGAAACAGAATACTCATTTTCTTTTTGAGAAGACGATGAATGAGTAGAAATTCCAGCACGACAAGGTGGTCGTAAGTGGAACATATCACGGTGGCGTATACCACCTCCTCGATAGATGTTGGTTCTGTAGGGCTGTGATGATGGGCAATTGAGAGTATCGTTCGAAATGTGACCACCGGAATCTTGAGACCAGTATCCAGATGGACAACCAACGTAAGGTGGCTGTGGTGGTACAAACGGTCGTTCCTCATGCACAAAACTGACAAGAGCAGGATAATCGATCGCACTATAGGAGAATGGATAGTATGAGATTCCGGTGCCGTTTAACCAAGATTGCCGAGAATGGTAAAGTGCCAATGGTGCAGCCATGTACAGACCGCTGTTACAGGCGGTAACCAAATAGTCTGACATCCCGCTGGCAGAGTAAGGTGGAGGGTAGGGTTCACCAAAGGCAACGGACGCCCTGCAGCAAGTCTCCATACGAACTGCAAATGCATGAACGCGCCCACCGGTAAAGAAGGTGCGCAAAACGTGAATGTCAGGGACGTCGGAGAAAATTGGGAACGCATGGGCCCAACTGACATGAATAGCCTGAAAAGGGGTCCGCATGTACTTGGCCCTGTAAAGTAAATGCAGATATCAAATGAGTTACAGTAAAAACAAAAGATAGGTGTGAAATAGCGACTAAATTCGAACGAGTTGGCTCAATTGTAACATCAAGTACTGCAGTGGCCAACCTATCTCGTGATAAACAGACTGTGTAGGTAAATGTAACAGTGGTCACGCTAATTCCGAGAAGCAAAACGTTGTGGGACGTCATTTGCTCAAAAGCCGGGGGATTCGGCTTTAAGTCACTGAGGTATGAAATATTTTGGGGACATGGAATCAGATATGTGCTAGATGTCCATACATCATCATCAACAACAGTATAACAATAATTCAAACGAATACTTCGCTGGGGTAGAAGGAGGATAACCCAAAGAACAGGGAAGATGTGGTTAGTGCAAAACCTAATTCCCTAAGCATACATTCAGAATCAAGCCCCCTGCACCTTACTAACAAACAGTTAGCTATCGTGCGAACAGTCCCATATCCATCAAAAGATTGTTAATCTCATGTCAAATGCGGATACGCAACGGGAGTTAGACAAGAATCATGTGCAACTGGACTTGTGTCTAAGTTCTTTTATTGCTTTAGGGGGAACTGCTTGAAGCTGATCGAGGTGGTCATCACAACGAGGTAACCTAGTTCAGTTGACCGGCTGTAAGCTGTGCGCGGAAATAAAAAAACCGGTAGTAGACAAACCCGTAGATACCCGAAGCAAGCATCAACCTGTGAGTCCAGTGCAGAAACCATTGCCAGCTGATGGACGTGCAGAAAAGGCTCGATTATATATCGTTAGGATCGAAACATTGTGGAGAACAAGGGAAAATGTCAGTGTTAGCTTAGAGCTCGACAGTTTCACGACATCAATGAATACCAAAGTGAGTGAATGCCGAACGCATTCGGTTCCATGACTCATTGGAAGCAATAAACGGATCGACATTTTATCTGACGAAGAAGCCTGGGAGCACTGCATCACGTAGTTAGTAGACGCTATGACGATTTTCTGAACAACGGTAGTGATTCAAACAGTGGGTGAAGTAGGAAACTGTTCATATTTGGAATGAAAAAAAACGCAAAACAAAAACTGGCGGCGATAGAACAAAGCAAGGAAGAATGAAGGTTGACGGATTTGTAATGAATCACACAGTCTATAACCTGATGAAATGAGTGCGGGTGCGGAAATAAGTGGAACAACAACAACAACAACAACAGTACATCAGTCATATTAAATGATGCTTCTCTGCCATACCACCATGAGGACCTATAAAATATAGAATAACAAGAGGGAGAGAAGGGGGACTTACCTGAAAACCTTAATGCCATAAGCAAACAGGCACGGTAAAGGCGCTTACACCTTGTGTTAATAAACAAATATTGTCACAAACAGCTGGCTACCGTGCAAAGATAAGGCGGTGTCGGCGAGACAGCTTCCTCGCGGCTTTCACTGCCACGCGTCATAATCAGCCACCACCCCGCAGATAACTCAGCACCAATCACACTGTAAACACGCGATCCGATTAGGAGACGGCAGCAGACGCGCCACTGGTGTCGGTTGCGAGTCATGTGCTGTAAAGTCTCGAGCCCAGCATAAGGCGAGTCACGTGGACTCCAGCCCGGAAGGCGAGACGGACCAACGGCAGCCAGTTTGGTCGTCAGTGACTTCATTTCCCGCTGCCAAGTCAACTTCTGTCCACTTCAAGCCTTGCGCCCTCCTACATCTAGCAAACAAAACAAGGCCCTCCTGGGTAAGTGGTGACAAGGCATACGTAGCACTGCCCGAGCCAACGCAACTTATTCAGTGCTATCGGTTGTTCTAGGGATCTAGCATGATTATTACTTCCTAGTACTTGCCTACGCACGCTGGTGCCATCCGACACCAGCAATGCATCGCAAACAAACCGAAGGGGCCAAGTCTCACTTCCATAGAGCAGGACGGCCCTCACTGTGGCTTCATATACACGGCCTTTCAGACGAAGGGAAACTCCCTTATATTGCCAAAGATGCCGCAGGTTCAAGTAGGCAGTTCTGGCCTATGCAATGCGTGAGCTGACGTCAGTTTCTATGCGCCCATCGTTGCTGATGCAGTTGCCAAGATAAGTGAATTGATCAACCACCTCGAGTTCCTCGTTAGTAAGCGTCAAGGGGTCATCAAGTGGCTGGTGGTCTTGCAGTAACACTTTGATGGTGCGGAGCGCATACCAAATACTGAGACCACTCTAGACAAGCTATTCAGGGTGTATTGTGCCACCGCAACATCGTCGAAAAGCAAGACGATACCGTCCGCATAATCAAGATCAACTAACCTTTCACCAGGCAGGACAACATCTGCATCGTGAGATTCTGCAAGGGAACACTCCATGATAGAATCCACGACAAAATTGAACAAAAATGAGGAAATCGGACAACCCTGACGAATGCCACTTGTGGTCGGAAAACTATCCGACAGGTCACCGTAGACGCCGCCTGTAGTGTTCGAGTACAGAGCAGGTAGAATGTTCCCATATTTCGTGGGAATATCTTTCCGCGCAAGTATTTTGAACAGTGCATCGATCGACTGAATCAAACGCACTTTTGAAATCGGGGAACCCAGCTATTGTCGGTCTGCGGTATGCGTGGCGCTGCTCTAGCACCTGCCAGAGTGAATATTTGGTCCATACAGACATGTCCTGGGCGAAAAGCGGCCTGCTCTCCTCCAATCCGAGATTCCCGTTCCACAGTGAGGCGACGAACGAGAATCGAGGCCAGTACTTTTGTCACCATCGACGTGAGGCTAATACCCCTGTGGTTAGAACAGTCTGCGCGACTGGCCTTCTTGTATATTGCCACTTTAATCAATTCGCTCCAGTTAGCTGGGACACTTCTTTCTGGATACGTTCGAATAGGGAGGTCAGTGCTATGCAGAGGACCTCACCTCCATCCTTAAATAGTGCAGGTGGGAGAGAATCCGGGCCAGCGGCACGAAAACGATTAAGGACCGTGATCGCGTTTTGGACCTCGGCTTCCGACGGAGGCTCGTCCTGCATCACCTGAGTAGGAGGAGATCCGGGGACAGGCAGTCAGCTGAACTGATATTGAAAGTGTTCCGCCCAGCGAGCCATACGGCTCTCTTTATTGTTTATCAGTGCATCCGCACTATCTCTGATTGTCTCATTGACGCCTGGTTTCCTGGGAACAGTGGTGTGAATCAGCTGGAAGAGCTTGTGGTAATTGCCTACTGCTCCTGCCTCCTTTATTTCTTGAGCCCTACTGGTCCACCAAGCTTCCTTGTCAGCGCGTAGGCTCCGCTTTAGTTCGCGCCTAATATCCCGTCTAGTCACATTGTGCTCAGAGCCAGCCGGGAGGTTTCTTCTAGATTCCAACAGATTCACCGACCTCTCGGACATCCAGTGACTGGTGCGGTGATGATTGATAGTGCTACAAGCAGATGCTTCTGCGCCGTGCATCACGGCCGAGATCCTATTCCATTGAATATCAGTGTCATTAAAACAAGACAGCGAAAGTTCGGTACGCAGTGTGTCTTGATAATCTTGTCTGGTCGAGGGCTGAGACAATTTCTCAGTTACCGGTCGGTGGCGTTATTCACTGTACGACAGTCGCCAAATTGGCGCCAATCACCGGTCTTTTAAGCACAAGGTATAGTGGAGGTGACCAACAAATGCTTGAAGGACGGAGGATCCCGAGCTTGAGCATGTGTTCCAACTCTTTCACAGCGGCTTGTAGTTTGTCAAGTGTAAGTCGTCGTGGTTTCGCCGTCACGGATAGACCAGTTGTGACAGTGTGATGTTGCACATCGTGCTTGAGTTCCCTCATGTCGTTATTTACCCCGACAAGTGATGGAAATTTCTGTAACAATGCGGAATACTGAGAACGATCGGGCACAAGAACTCGAAGTCTGATGGAATTAACTGCAGTAAGCTTACCTGAAGCAGTTAACTAAGTGGTATCATCATGTAACTTCCCACAACGTAGATCTAATACAAGGCCTGATTTGCTAAGAAAATCGATACCGATGTTAGGCGCTTGTACGTCGGCGATTGTAACAATGTATGGAAAGCTACGACGTAGTCTAAGACTGAGCGTGAGAAGTTTCTGGTCATAAGTCGCGATTTCCTTTGGTTAGCAGTCTGTAGCGTCATTCCAGTTGGCTGTAACGAGCGTTTTTCCAAGGAACGGGGTATAACGCTTATCTCCGCGCTGGTGTCAACCAGAAAGTGGGGTTTGGTCGTGGAATCAAATACGTACAGGAGGCGACGGATAATTTGGCCAGCGGCAGCCTTCACCACTACTGGCTGGCTTCGACGTTTCCCGATTTGGAATTAACGAAAGCCTTTGGGTGAGTACACCCTGGGTGGCAGTTTCGTGCAGCTTTACCAAAGCGGTAACGGACGTAGCAGTAAGAACGCGATGGTCGTCTGCAGGAGTTGCTGCGAGGCCTGCTTGTGAAAGAGGATTTTTGGTACGGTATTCGACTGCGGCTAAAGTGATAAATGCTGAGCTCCAACTTTGAGAGCCTCTCACTAATGGAGTCTAGTGTGGCATTCCCTGAAGTGCTTGTAGTGGACGCCTAAGCCACATGATTCACAGTATATTTAAAGAAATTTTCGAGTACTTTGTCGGATGCTTCCGCCAGCTTATTTAGTGGAAGGTCCTCAGCCAAAACAGCTAGTATCGCCGTCGTGTTTGCTGGAAGACGCTTAATATAGAGTTGGTGAAGAATGGAATCATCTAAGGTTGACGGACCGACAAGTGATCGCATGTGTCGGAGGAGCTGAGACGGTGTACGATCACCAAGCTCGACGCCAGAGTAGCTGTTGGAGGCGTGCCTCGTCGGATGAGGTAGTGCGTTTTAAGATAGCTGCTTTAAGCTTATCATAAGGTGAGTCAGTCGGCATAGGGTCGAGGATATCGATGACTTCTGAAGCCACGTGTGTAGGTAAATGGGCAGTAACATATGAAAACATCGTAGACTGCGAGGTAATCTTACGGAAACGAAAGATAGATTCCACTTGAATA